GGTGGTTCGACCTTTAAATCATTTGGTTTTGCATGAAGGCCTAAACACAACGAATAGAACGAAGAAAACCGCGTAGTTGTTGAACGCATGAATGATCATTTTTATTATACAAATTCTTCTATAAATCAAGTCGTTGTTTTAAATTATTCTTCACCTTATGTGTACACACGTTATCACAAGCGAAAATGAAGAAAATTCCAGTAAAAAGCCACCACCAAATTGCAAGCAACGAACAAATGTAAACAAACGGCTAATGTCAAAATCGCGCAACTTTTTTCCTAAATGCGATTATAACGGGCTATTGGCTTGCTGGCGTGATCTTGTATTTGGTACATGGCTTTATTAAAAATACATCATTTTATAACCCAGTACATAATTTCAGGAGTTAAAAGCTCTTCCGAAAGGCCTTCCTTAGAGTCAAGAGGCCTTCCACTCTACATTCCTTTCTTTTTTGTATGGACTGTCATCAATTGAAGGCTTCTTCTTTCGCTACCCATAGAAAGCCTTCCAGAAGGGCTTTTATAAGACGTACTTCAGAACCTCTTGAGGAGTTCATTGAGTTTCGCAATGTGTTTTGAGGTTACAAGCTAGTCCTGACGTGATTGAGCAAAACGGACTTCAGATACGTGTTAAGCGACCCTTAATATCAAACACCTGGTCTGGTTTTACTAACCTTTCATCGATTTTGTTGTGGTGCTGCGTAATTGATTTAAATTTGAAAACTTTCGCCTTGATAACTAGCTTAAACTTTGTACACTTACCGATTTATGAACACATTATACAAGTGTAGAACAGTCCGTTTCTGTCGATAAATACATAAGTGTGCCAGCGGAAAAATTGATTGTTTTTCTTGAGCTTCCTTTCAGATGATAAATTTCGAATATGTACTCATAACTCTGGTTCTATTAGAGGCAAAAACAGTAAAACTTAGTTAATTTTGAGCTCAATCAAGTTAGCGGCGCTGAAATGAAAGAATGAAGAAAAAATTGGTTCGTATTATTGTGCTCATTGTGTGCTTTTTCGGCCACTTTTAGTTTTTTTTTGTTCTCCGACCATTTTTTAAATAATTAAGACTTTGCTAAGTTAACCGTAACTTAGCAAAACATTCATTCAATGAAGTTTTTTTCCTACTTATCTGGGCTTATTATTTTTTGGCATATTATGTGCTTTCAAAATATTGCCCAGTAAACATTGAAAAACCGCTTGACGTCACGCTATCTGGCCCACTTCTTAAACTTTGGTCGAGCACGGATAATTATTATTGAGGAATTACGTGCTAATTTTGGGAATTTTAGAGTTACCAAAATAATTATAGGAGCTCATCCAGTTTCCAAGATACATAATTAAGACTTTGCTGGGTTAACTGTAACTTAGCAAAACATCCATCAAGTGAAGACTTTTTACTGCTTATCTGGGTTTATTATTTTGGGCTTTTTATGTGCTATGCAAATGTTGCCCGTTGAACGTTGAAAATCGCTAAAAATATTGCTCAGTAAACATTGAAAAATCGCTAAAAATATTGCCCAGTAAACATTGCAAAATCGCTTGACGTCACGGTAGCCGACAAACTTTATAAACTTTGGTCGAACACGGATATATACTGCTGAGGAATTAGGTGATATTTAGGGGCTTTTTAGGGCCGTCAAAATTATTTAAGGTGCT